GCACTTGTTACTAGAAGCGATGCACTTGTTCCTAGTAGCTTCTTGTTTCTAGCTCACTCACTCATTTTCCCATCAAATGCTACTTTCAAATGTTGCACCTCTTCGTGTTTATCGATCAATCAAGCAACCAAATCACACACAAGTCATTGTTCAATCAATCAAGAACCCACCTCGGGAGGATGTCAAGTTCAATGCCCCAATCATCGGCCTGTGTTCAAGTCCAATTCATCAAGGTACTGTGTGACGGCGTAGCAAGTTCATATGCAGCCATGTATCAGGAAAATGTGTTTGTCGTTCCACGAGCACATGAACGTACTGTTTCAGCGGCCACAGACACGATCCATTTTCACCAGCCGTGCTTCACCCTTAGTAAGTTTGCACCACTTCCCTCGCAGTCAAGGGACCACTGTATATACCTTTGGAAAGAACCTGCGACTTCAACACCGGGATCAGCCACCAATTCACAAGAGGTGAAGTGTATCAGGTATCACTGCAATCACACAGAGAACATCCATCACTTTACCAACAAGGTACCACTGCACACCAGCAACGGAGCCATTCCGCATTAAATGTCCTACCTCTATGCCAGTGAATTCACCTGCAGTGAAACGATAGGCTGCTAGACTGCTTTGCATTTGCCTAGTGTCATTGGCGCCACTTTTCATGTTGCCTTTGTTCTCAATCAAAAAGGTTTCTATTGTTCAAGAGGATTTATGTTGCTGGGACGAGCAGTTGGTCTTTTCCGGATGTTTATCATGCTTTAGGCTTTGGCTTGTTGAAACTGTGAGAAACTTCGGGTTCCTTTCGAGTTCCCACTCTGAGAACGGCCAGATCATCTTCACCGAAAAGCCCTGGTTCGCATTACCCAGCGATGAGCGGAATAGAGTCGCTGCGGCAGTAGACCTGCAAGATGCGTCTGAGTGGTTTGGGATTCAAGGCTACTTAAAGATCCGTTTAGTACTCATTGTCATTTGCGAGTTGTTTGAATCCCCGACTTCGTGCATGTGCCTGCCTGGCAACTACAAACGCACCAGCCACTCAGTCAGTGTGTTGCATCTTCATCAAGAGCCATAATCATATCCGGAATCGGCCAGATGTCAAGGACAACAGATACAAGTTGCTCCAAAGGAGCCTTGTTGCAACATGTCTCACCACGAAGCGAATTTGGAAACAGGGGTTGCTCATGTTTGCTCCATAGTTTTCCCACAGTCATTATTATAGCTGAAGTGGGAATGTCACTTTGAGTTTCATGAGTTTGAGGTCATGACATTTGACCATACATACATACCGGAAGCCCTTTTGTGTCGAGAAAAGCGATCGAACATGTTCGACTGTGTGGGTTATGAGCCCAACACGTTGTTGATTGGGTACTTTTCGATCCTTGCCATGAGCGAAGAAACCTCGGAGAAGACACCTGAATCCGGGGGCTTGCGGGCGATAGAGGATGTGGGACCTCAAGATGGGGTCATGATGAGGCCCTCAGGGCCACCAAGGGTGCTGGGTCCAGAGCTGGTCAATCCTTTTTGGTCCGAAAGTGTCCGAGAAGAGGCATTGTTGAGGGCCATTAGACCTACAGACCTACCACCTCAAGAGTCACCAGAACTGATGCCAGCAGGTACGCCAAATGTCAGTCCGCCCAGGGAAAGTGATGCGGTGCGTGCTGTCATTCAAGGCCTGATGGCCGAGAATGCGAAGCTCTGGATGGAAAGGGATGCGATGACACCTCACCAGATGGATAGCCGCATGGGCTACATGCCTTCGTGGGTGCCGCAGCAGCAGATGGGCATGGGGGCTGGTTTTCAAGGCCATCAGCAGGAAAAGAATATGCTGGCTGCCATGTTTGATGCTATGCGTATGTCGATGGGGAACACGGAGTTTTCCAAGGGCAAGGGGCTACTAGGACCACTGAGTGGTAATGGTGATCGGGGAGGTCTTCCACTCCCTCGAGTATGTGGCTCCAGTCTTTGACAAGCCGCGGAGGGGATCCGCAGCCATAGTGAAGACAACTCAGTTACTACCTGGTGCGGCCAAACATACTCACTTGGGTGCACGTTTGATTCCGCGGGGTGCTACGTGTGTCCAGTCTCATCCACTTGTGTGGAGACAAAATGTATACCCCGTTGTGGTGCAGCCTGATAGTTACCACGACAACCGCCGCCCCTTTGGAGGTTTGGACCTGTTCTATGACATCTTGTGTGCCTATGGGTCTTACTTTCTTTCAGTTTTGGGAGTTCCTACCACCACGAGCGCTCGATGGGCGATCGCTTCTTGCTCGGCGTTATACACTACGTTTCCTGTCATGGGCTATCGTTGGGATTTAACCAGAGGAGGTGGTCCGGTGCTGATGGAGTTCTTGTGGCTCCTATGGCACAGCATTTCCTTTGCCGCATGGTGGCATGGGCCCCGGTGTGGGCCTCTGGATTCTCTGAAGCCGCTTAACTGGAGTTGTGATCCTGGTTCACTTGGGACCTGTCGTATGTTCTTTTGGTGGAGTCCATGGTGGTTCTCCAGCCTGATTGCTTACGTCTTTCAGGGAGTGACTATTTTTTCTGGCAATTTTTGTTTTCTCACGCAGCCATTCCTCCCCGCGTGGGGCGGGGAACGTGGTCCTACGGACACCGATGGCCTGCGTCGTGGTGGCGTGCTTTGATATGGCAGTTCAGCTGCACCAGGTGTTGGCCCTACAGGGCCTGTGCAACCACCTTCTATGGGTCTAGTTTGTCCGCCCGGCGATTATGGAGGCTTTCAACGGCGCTGGTCTGGCCCGAAGGCTAGCCTGATGGAGGTGTTCAGCCGGGTGTCCTCATCTGCAACCGGTAGTATGGTTCAGTCGCTGTTCCCGGGTTTTGCGGAGTCCTCAAAGTCTATTTCCTGGGGAAGCAACGGTCCATCCATGGATATGCATTCGTCACGGGGCTATGAGACTGGGGTGTTCGTTGGTGGCGCGGCTAGCGGAGTTCCGGGTTCGGGACATTGTCAACAGGCTGGTGTGAGTTCTCAAAGCTCACAACAGGGGTCTCAGACTGGAGTGGGAGATTCCGGACAAGCTGGTGGGAGGTCAGCGTGTGATTCAGAGGGTCCTGGTACAAGTGGTCAGCAAGCAGGTCTTTCCGGTGGTTCACAATCCGTCAATGTGATGGGTGGAAGTGGTCATCAACGGGGTCCTGGCGATCAAGGAGGGGAACCTGTTGGTGGTGCCAGAGTACCAGGTGGTGGAAGCTTTCAGGGTGTTCCGAATGGTGGTCATCAAGGGGCTCCTGGAGGAGGCTCGTATGGTGCTCCTGGTGGAGGGCATCCTGGCGCTCCTGGTCGGGGGCCATCCTGGCGGTCACGGTGGAGGTTTCCCTGGCGCCGGATTCCCGGGCGGTGACTTTCCTGGTGGCTTTCCGGGTGGAGGTCCGGGTTTTCCAAACGGTGGAGGAGGTTTTCCAGGGAGGACCTCCTGGAGGAGGTGATCCGGGCAATCCTTTCGGTGGCCTTCCAGCATGGTTGGGTGGGTTGATGGCTCAACAAGAATCAGTACGAGCAGTTGATTTACCCTCTCTCCCGGAGCTCTCTGAATCAGAGATTGGGCCCTTGATTGCAGGCGATTTCAGCGCCCGCCCTGGCTGAGGATTGAGCAACGTGGCTCGGTGGCGCTCTTGAAGGCGATCCCGGAGTCCATCAGATCGGAACTGGTCTCACAACGGGAGGTGGGGTCAGTTAGCATCATCTTCAAGATCCTGAGAGTCTACCAACCTGGTGGGCTTGGAGAACGGACCACTTTGTTGAAACAGCTGGTTGATCAGCGAGTTCCAGGTCCACTTGGTGAATGGCTCACGTCATTGAGAGCATGGCGCAGGTGGCTGACTAGGGTACAGGAGTTAGAGATTCAACCGCCTGACCCGGTGCTTCTTTTGGCCACGCTAGATCGCTATGTGGCTGGGCTTGCAAAGCATTCACCACAGGTGGCGTTCAGGTTGCAAGTCACGAGGGCGGCATTGAGAGTTGATGTGGCTCCCACCGAGAATGGCATTCAACAATTTGCGGAGTCGCTCTTGGCTGAAGGAGAAGCAGCTTTTCATGGAAGCTCGTCAGCCCCTCTCAAGGACAATGTCAAGGTGAAGATGCTTGATGGCGACCGTGGAGGAGGTAAGGAGGATGCCAAGCCTAAGGAACCTCGGACAAGCCTCGAGAACCTCAAGATGGCAAAGATGGAAGAGACTCCAAGCATTCCAAGGGTGACCAAAAGAATGCCAAAGGTGATCAGAAGGGCACTGGTGACAAGCCGGTGCGCCGATACTTTTTGTCGGACTGCAAGAAGGGGCAAAAGTGCACGTTCCCGCATGAGTGGAAAGGTGTTTCGAAGCAGGGGCGTTGCTGGACGTGTGGTTCACCACAACACATGAAGCCGGATTGCCCTGTGAAGGATGTCCCAAAAGTCAAGAAGGAGGCGGCAGAAGACACCAAGGTCAAGGACCAGGCGGTGAAAGTGGGGGAGGCGAGTGGTTCGACGGCCGGGGAGGCAGCTGGAGCTACGTTTATGCCTCCATCTACGCCACCATCGGAGGACTTGGTCAAGGAGGCTGTGCGATTGTTGAAATCGCTCCGACCTTCAGTGAAGATGATTGGGGCTCGCTCCATCAATCCGGTGGACGGACCAACCAGAGCCCTGTTGGATGGTGGGGCGACGCTGCGTCAGGTCACAGGGGCCTTGATCACTAACTTTGAGACGCAGGTCATCGTTGCCTTGGGCAAGGTCGTTCGGCTTGGCTATCGGGTCAAGTGGGAAGGAGACTCATTTGAGCTGTAGGATCCGGCAGACAAGAAGGTTGCGTGAGGTGATCCTGGAAGCTGGTTGCCCTACGGTGGCGATGGATTTGGCACATTCTCTCATTCAAGAACTTGAGAATCAGGAGATAGAGATGTCTCGGAGGGTGCGGCTCTACGGGCTGGAAATGCTGGGGATCTGGCTCCGTGCGTCTGGAGGTGGCTCAGTGACTTGAGGAAGCTATGGCCTGAAGTTCCAGATGAGTCGATTGCTCGTGTCGTTCCCACCGGAAAGTGGACTGGTGACCAGGCGCCGCTCAATCGACGCCAGAGGCAGAGGGTGATGACGAGCTCTTCAGTGATCTTGCACCTTTTTTCAGGTCCGGATCAATATTGGTGGAGGAAGCGTTTGGACTCGAATTCCAGGACAGTTCTCTGCATTGACAAGTCGGTGGATAGTGCTCAGGACTTGCTGTCAGATCAGCTCACTAGCTTCCTGGCGGAGGTATGCGAGAAAGGGCGGAGGTCCGCCGAACTGTCTCCAAGCTTCGATTCCGTCGTCCTGGTCCACCACCTTTACGAGCCAGAAGTGGCCCTGAGCGGTTCGCTTTGAATGACCTCACGGACGCCGCGAGAGAACTTGCGGGGGGGACGCAGTGCTGTGGCTTCGTCAGCTTTGGCTTTACACTCTGGCTTCTGCGGCTCGACAACGCTTGGTGCTGTTCTTGAAGGAGCATCCCAGAGATCCAGAGGAATACAAGTCTCAGGAGGACACGAACATCTACCCTTCGTTCTATGCATGGCCAGAGTGGCAGGTGTTCCGTGACCAGTATAACCTCAAGGAGGTTCGCTTGGACCTTGGGGCGTTGGGGCACGAGCGCAGAAAGCCGACCACCTTGAGAACCAACATTTCGTGGTTGTCCACCCTGGATGGTTTGACCGCCCGTCAGGTCAGAGATCAGGTCTTGAGTGCAGAAGCTCCTCTTCAAGACCGAACTTCGCAAAGCAGGGGACGGGCAGCTTGGCCACTTCGCTTCAAGGAGGAGATTGTGAAGGGCATTGTGCTGGATCTTGATGGAAAGCTTATGGATTCTCCTGAAGGGGACCAGGGTCGCCTTGGCCAAGATGTCGTGAGTGCAATGGAAACAGCACGTGCTCTGCGACCATGTTCCGTTCTCAAGGAAGTGCACTACTTGTCTGAAGGGAGGTGGAAAACCCAGGCCTCATCGCAAAGTTCCTCATCCGGACGCAATGACTTTGAGCTTGGACGTATGTGGCCCATTTAGACCTGGTGAAGACTTCCGGAAGAAAGCTCGCTATTTCCTGGTGGGTGTCTATGCCATTCCGGTGATGAAGATCCACTGCCACAAGGCTTGGTAGATGCCCTGGAACCCAGAGAAGAGCCAGAGGGTGAGTCAGGTGAGGACCCTCTTCTTCCTGAAGCTCAACCCGAGGAGGTGGAAGTCAAGGAGGGTGATCCGAAACGAATGGAGGAATGGGAGCGACTTGAAGTGGAGTCTGAGGCCGTCGTCATCAAGAATTATACGATGGTGGAGACGCTGACCTCGCGTCAGGGGGCCGAGTTGAAGGGTGGGCTTGCGAGAATGGTGGCCTGTCTCAAATACCTGGGCATGGAAGTTCGAAGGGTGCATAGTGACGGTGCCGCAGAGATGTTGGGCACCAGGCGATGGTGCGAAGATAGGAGGATCTACAGAACCTTCACCAGTGGCAGTGACTGGAAGGCCAATGGTCGAGCCGAAGCTGAGATTGGTGTCATCAGGAGAGGCATCAACACTCTTATACGAGCAGCTGAAGAAGGTGAAGAAAGATGGCCTTTGATGGCTAGGCACATTGGTGAACGTCGGGGGCAGCTTCAAGCTCTTGGTTTCTGTACACTGGCATTGCTGCCTTGGGGGAGGAAGGTCATGTGGTAACCACCAAGGGCTGGGATGACTTTCAGGGACACTGGCGTTTGCGAAAGAAACCGGGTGTGGTTCGTGGGCCAGATCGACCAGCGGAGGGCACATCGTGGAGATCGAGAAGGGCAAGTATGTCCGCACCAACGACATGGTTCAGGCGGAGGGTCCTCCGGCTTTGACTGATGTCTTGACGGTTGAAGAACGCCCAGAACCAGCATGTATCCTGGACCATGTGGTCACTCCGAGGAGGAGGTTGAGGGAAAAGACGGCTCTGTCAGCACTCTCCGCGAGGGAACTTCAAGATAGGCTTCATCGAGGACAGGTTTGGGCCAATGAGGAGTTCAACCGCATGGAGTCGTTCTCTGAAGGGGAGGGTGGAAGCATTGCTCATGTCTGTGACCTGGACGGGAGAATGAAAAGATTGAAGGGATGGCGCAACATTGGGCTGCGTCGCGCAAGCATTTGGAGGTGGAAGCCTCTCACGTGGCGGAGGAAGATGGAGAGCTGTTCCTGCAGACACGGACAATCAGCCTTCAAGAAGTCCGGAAATCCTTGCCATTGTGGATTCCATCCCTTCGATCGGAGATTGAGAACTTGATCAAGCCATTCAGAGGATCACGGAAGAGAAGACCAAGGAGATCCTAGCGGAGGCGGAGTCGAAGAGCTGATTCCTGGAATGGGGGTGTTCACCCGAAAGGCCGGAGACGGTCGACGTCGATCCAGGATTGTCTGCTGCGGAAATTACATGGAAGCTCGTCCAGGGGAAGAAATCTATGCTTCAGGCGCCGATGGATGGGATCTGTCATCCTCAGTTTCATTGGAGGTTCAACCGGGAGAAAGACGCCTTGTTCCTGTTGGCCTTGCGGTGGAGCTTCCTCGTGGCTGCTATGGAAAAATTGCGGCTCGGAGCTCTTGGGCTTCAAAGGGGGTGGATGTTGCTGGAGGGGTGATAGACGCTGACTTTCGAGGAGAGATCAAAGTGATCCTCGTGAACAACAGCAGCGAAGTGCTCCAGGTGAATGTCGGCGATCGAGTGGGTCAGTTGATCTTGGAAAAGATAGCTAAGGTGAACATGATTCCCACTTCCTCCTTGTCGTCTACTACCAGGATGAATGTGAACCCTACATCCTCGTCATCATCTACTACAAGGAATGAAGGTGGCCTCGAAGGCGGAGGGGTGGGTGTCGGTGAGGCGTGTGACAACTTCTTCAGGAAGCGACAGACCTCATCCAAGTGAAAGCGAGCCTCCAGTCGCATGTCTACTTCGACGGCATCCATTGGGCAAATTCAGGAGAAACCTATGCCCAGTTCGTCAGTCGCCTTCGAACGAGAGAGCTTCGTGAGTTTTGGTGGCTTTTCCCAAAGACCCTGATTGATGAGCTGGAACGTTCTTCGTTGCAGGGTTCAACAGCTTCCTTCACCCAGACAGTCGAGATGGGCACGATCCATGTCAAGATGCACAAGCACGAGGCTTGGCAAAGAAAACTGTTTGATACAGAGGTTGGGGCTCCAATTCCAGAGAATGGGCTCACGGCAGGAGTGGTGACGCTGGGAGAACTTGAAGAAGGAGGAGTTTTCCTCCTACGGGTTGACAACAGGAAGGGAAGCAGATCTATGAGCTATTTGAGGTCTCGTTGGAGGGGGGTGAGTTTGTTCTACTCCTTCCAAAGTTCACAGGGGCGCTCCCGGTGACGCGAGGCTGAGTTCTTCATGGGGACTTGCTGAGATAGGGAAGTGCTTAGGTAGCCCTGATGTTTTGCCTTTTTGGCCTCCATTCAAAATGGGGAATGCGGGCTGGAAGATTTGTTCAGAGCTGTGCACAGAACCTTTTCGTCGGCCTAGATCCACAGTTTAGACCCAATCAATTTGAAGGGGCTTGAGCTACGACATTTTCCAATGAAGACTTTTCTGAATCCCACTTCAAGATCCCGACCAATCTCGGGAGGGGAGAGCTGAAGTGGGAATGTCACTTTGAGTTTCATGAGTTTGAGGTCATGACATTTGACCATACATACATACCGGAAGCCCTTTTGTGTCGAGAAAAGCGATCGAACATTTTCGACTGTGTGATTATCATGCTGCGGCACCATGGGCAAATCTGGCTCAGATGCCTTTGCTCTGAAAGATATGTCCAAGAGTTTATCAGATTCTTCAGATTCAAGACATCAACGATGAAAGGAGAAAGTTGTTTGGGGAAGTCTTCAGGACCCTAGGCCCTAGGTGCCCTCGGTGTCAGGCTTCACCATGGTTCCACTTGAGGCCGGATACTTCCACAAAGGTGTTGCACACCAAGTGGATAGGCTGTCTCAAGAAGCAAAGAAACTCGATCACGGGACCAAAGCATTAGTGCGAGCGCTTCTTCAAGGAAGCTCCCCCCCGCCCTCTGGTGGGGAGAGTTTCCTTGAAGAAGCGTGAGCTATCCTGCGTCCGTGTGTAGAAGCTCACTTCTCCTAGTAGCGAACTGGCCGCCTTGAACTTAGTACGCACCTACTTAATTAAGTAGGAGGTCGGCCCCAAAAACAAGAAGCAAGATTGGGCCAATCCTTCGTGACCAGTTTTCAGACTCTTTGGGTCTTTGGGGAGGCTGCGCATGGTGGTGCTCTACCTCCATCTGCAGGTCGACGATACATTGGATGTGAGGAGAGCAATCCGTGAAACAGGGAACAGATCATTCACGAGGGATGTTTCAGCCCCTTGGAGATTCCTCCAATGTTACTAGTAGTAAGGCACTTGTTACTAGAAGCGATGCACTTGTTC